TGGCGATTCAGCAGATATCACAGGTTTGTCTGTTCCAACTCAATTACTTATTAGTAGTGGATCAAACATAAATATTAAAAAACTTAAAGGAGTAAGTAATTATGCTACCTGGAAGTTTCAAATGAAACTTATCCTTATTGATCATGGTCTTTGGGAATATGCCAATATAAAGGTACCCCAGATTCTTCAAAATATCAAAAACCTATATGCTATCCTCATGTAAGGAATGCTCAAACTGCGAATTATATCACGGAAACTGCCGAAGTGCCCAGAAATTCTAAGAATCACACCAGCCGGCAGCTCAAGTTTCTTTTATCAGCATACATGAGTTAACAATGATTATTTTTTACATTTTTAGTCTGATGTTAGCTTTCAATTAATAAAGACATAATTATAACTCTGTTTAAATAAAAAATATTTTTTTTTAAAAAACGATTTTTCAAATCGTGTTATATTTTTGGCGCAGTCAGTAGGATTGTCACGAAGAATCCGACGTGGATAACTTTCGCTATTTTTATAGTGAAAGTGAGTATAGGTGGCGATTTCAGTAAATAACACCTCCGTTAGTACACTATTCATCCGCTAATTTAAAATTTACAGTTTACTGCATTGATTCGTTAAAAATCTAGATAGATGTCTTGACAGTCTGATAATTTTTACTTTTTTACTTTTTACTTTCAGTAATTAACATTATTTCCTTAAAATTTTTTAAACTGTTTGTGCTTGTAAAACTATTTTGTGTTGTTTAGTTAATAATTGTCTTAAATGTGTTTTAATTAATTATTTTATTCAAAAAGACATCTGGTGGTTTAACCTAACCTACATTTAAAACATTTTTTAAAAAAATACTTATTACACATGACTTTTTTAACTCGTTCTGTTAAACTTTTTGTAGCGCTTCCTTTATAGAATTAGTCAAGGTGAGTCAAGGTTATTGTTTAACTTTCTTTTGTGTTTTTTCTGTTATTTTGTATATGTTAAAGTCCGTTCATGCTTTTATAATTGTTTTTATTACAACTGACTCCTTGATATTCCATTTAGGTGTGCCTGATGATGAAGTGACAACTTCGAAACCGGTCGCCAATAAATTGACTTTGTGAGAAATAAAGGACTTTTTCTTTAACCTTTACACTTAATCCCTACTACTCACATATGGCTACCCTCACTCCAAATTAAGGAAGAGTTGATTATGAATTTTAGTGATCCCCGAAATGAAAGTTGCTTATTGTTGGATTTAAATAATTTAAGGCAAGCTCCTAACGAGAGCCCATATGAATTTCATGAAAAGGTCAGGAAATTATTAAACACTATTTCAAACTACCTCGGTTTGGCAATTCCAGAAATCAATTACCCCAAAATTGTAGATGGGTATCTGAAGAATTAAATAATGTCGAACATTGTGATTTGGCAGATAATTCAATCGATTTTGTGAGCAGCAATTGCGAATACGAAATTGTAGACTCTCCTTCTGGCGATAATTACCAAAATTTTCAGGAGCCCAGCCTCCCAAATCCGAAACCATGATAGAATTTTATAATTCACTTGATAAAGGACAACTACCTTATATTGCAATAAATAACCCACCATTAAAACTTTTATTAGACACCGGGGCAACTCGATCATTTTTATCTCCAGAAGCTGGTGATACATACTAAACTACAAGAAAGTTATAAAAGTAATGTCGAGGGAATGCGCAGGGTTTTTTTCTACAGGGAACGGATCCTCTCCATAGGAGGCCCCCCTTGTAGGAGTTTCCCTGTAGCAGCTCCAGCTTATAATCTTCATAGTTTAAATTAAAAGTCGTTTTTCAGTATTTTGAATAATTGCGTTTTAATAGTCAGGCAAGAGTTGTGACATGTGCCCCAAATGTTAGTGGATTTGGTAATGTTTTATGTACTTATTATATTGAGCCTGTATTTGTGTATGTCGAGTTAAGACATTTTATATAATCGTTGTATTTACATTATACTTGTTTTAAGAACACTATGTTTTCTTCAGCCCTTGTTTAAAGATGTGTTAGGTTCTTACAGCAGGAGCAGAACCCTTATACAGTTAAGGGCTACGAAGCCAAGTTTAAGGCTACATAGTGTTTATGTGATTGAGGCCCAAACTCACATATTTTGTTATTCAACCCTCGGGACGTAGATAGTCCCATAATTATTTAAAACACGTTAAACCTGACATTTCTTTATAAAAATCACGCATAACGTGACAATATTAAGAGGCCAAATAAAATATTCCTGGCGCATGGATTAACAATAGTGTGTTTAATTAGATATTCATTGATTAGAAGAATAAAAACATTATTTATTTACAACCATATATGTCATTACTAACTTCATTGAAGGTTGGAAAGTGTCACATTACACTTCTACTTCCCGCCCTCATTTCATCTATTCTAGATGAATATTTTTTATATTTAAAAAACTAACACATTTTTTTGACAAATTTTATATTATCTATTTAATGGCAAACAATAAAAAACAACAATGAACTAAAATACAACAAACTACTTATTGGTATTAATCGTTAAATTTAAATTATTGTAAGCGTTTATCGAAATATGTAGGCCAATACCAGCGCTGGCATCTCCAACAGTTGTCTCTTTGGTCGACAAATTAATTTCATGTTGAATGACTGAGGTTTGTAAACTACTTGAAATAGCTACAGAAGACATGGCAAGTCAGGACAGCATAGTAGCAGTTTTCATTTTATTCTCCATTGAGCCATCCACATAACCTTCTGCCACAGTACTAGATTTCCATCCTGCAAGCCTTTTTAATGTGCATTTGCACCACTGTTGGTAAGTAACGTAGCGGCGGTACTTCTGAGAGCGTGGCCTGTAAAGCCTTTCCAGTTCTCTAAATTCAAAGAAGTAGCAATTTTTTGGAGAAAATTAGCTATTGTATTGTGCCCAATTGGTAGATTTCTTGCTATTCTTCCTCTAAGCTACACAAAAATTCTATCTATTTCTATGTTTTTTCTCAAATTTATGTAGTCTCTAATGATCTTCACCCATACTAGATCAATAATGAAAAATTATCTACTTGTGTTTTAGAATCTGGAATCTCAACCGAAATTTTTTCTTCAAAAAAGCCACATCCAACATTTTCATTTTCACTAATTCGTCCGTCCGACAAGCTCCAGATACGCCTATTATTACTGCTACCTAAAACAATAGGAAGATATAATACTATAATAACAGTGTACTTGTATTACCTCAAAGACTTTTTTTTTAAATACTTATTTAAAGAATCACAAATATCTTACCTTTATTGGTAGAAGATTATTTGGAGCTTTATTTAAAAAATCCTCTATATTCTTCCTCGAAAATACGTTCTATTTCTTGGGTCTAAAGCCCACATTTTGTCGTTTTAGGAAGGCTAGCAGTTTCCCATGTTTCGAAATCTGTTTTTTCTTCAATTTCTAGCATCGTTCGTATCATACATACATTCCCCACAAAGTAGACGGCTTCTTTTGCCTGGTATGTTCTCCAAAATATGCCAGGAGTACACTTTCCGAACCGATATTTTTGACCTTTTTTCTTTGCACCATTTCCTATATAATTCAATGGCTTTTAGGTACCGATGCTTACTTATTTTTGGCACCAAGCCCTGGGCTGCTGCATCAGCAGCCTGTCGTACTTCTGGTGGGGTACAATCCATCAATTCTTCGTTGAAAAACATTTCTTTCAATTTATTATTCGCGAATTTAATATCCGACTTTATCTGACATTTATTGACTTTTTATTGACTTTATTTATTGACTTTATCTGACATTTAAAGTAACAATATATTTACTTGAATATTCTGAGAAAACCACGTGCTTGGTAATTTGTTGTTAAATGTAATATTTTAGATATGTTCAGAACGAAACAGAGATTTATTAATTTTGATCGAAATATGATGGTTGTAAATAAAAAAGTATTCGCTCCGTGCGAAGTCATGGAAAGGGAAGCAAAAGCGATACTAGCGCTAGCTGCGGATAATTCGTGCATTTTAGGGGGATATTTTGTAATTTTGGCATATCAAATACACGTATACATTTTACTTTTTTTCAAAAAAGTAGGTAAAAACAACACAATAAGCAACCGGAGTTGCTGTGTTGAAAATTGTACAAATACTAGCAAAAAAAAACAGTGAAACTTATATAACAAATTTCACTAACAAAGTGGAAATTAAATCAAAGAAATAAATGGATAGGTGTACAATAAGAAGAAAAATTACCTTTATTTTTGTGATAATAACAGTAATGCTGGAAATAGTAGACATCAGAAACTAGAAAGTTTTTAAATAAACAATAAATTATCATTTTACGATGTTCTTTAATATCCCTTTATTCTTAAATGTTCATTCAGCAAGGACTAGATTTCAAGATTTCTGCCGTTGATTATAATATTTGGCTGGTATGCAATTTTTTACTGATCGGAAACCAGTTTTAATCATTCATTCTTTAGAACAAAAATGAAAATATAAGTAGCGATCCTTTTTATACATTTTAACTTCACGCTATTATAAATGGTTTCTTCAATGACAACTTATTAGACTTAGGCAACTTCTCATACATTTTCCAGTAAATACTGTTGCCTGCCTATATTTTATTATTGATTTTTAATGATTATACATAATTTTCTTCAATTTAAGCGTGAAAAATATATAATAATAATAAATTAATGTTTTAATTGTTTTATAAATCCATATACTTTTATTAAAACTAACATATATACTTTTTATTTACGAATTCTATTAAAAATTGTATTTGTCAGTATAGGCAGAAATACTCCTTTAATACCAAAACAAATTGGCGCTGCTGTCGCACACGGAGCGAATACAAACCTCAGTGGGAAGTTTCATTCCTGTCTCGAGAACATAGCTAACCTCGACGCTTCGCGTCTCGGTTAACTAACTAATCTCACGCCAGGAACCAAACTGTTCCACCTCGGTATGTATTAAATCTACCAATAGGTTTTAATACTGTAGATATAATGAACAAATATTTACCTGAAAGTAACGCAATGTGGCTCCCTCTAACTTTGCTCCAAATTTGATACCATGTTCATTATCGTAGAGAGACTGTAGGTCTGTAAACAGTTTGATTGGATTTTCTGTTGCTAAAAAGGCAGCAAGGTTGGCAGTATAAGATGCACTCATGATGAGACAAAAGTACCACCATATTCCTGATGCCATCCTGGTTGATATAGCTCTAAAAATGTTAATCAATGATAAATGTTAATGAACGACCTGAAAAACATTAGACTATACAAAATATTGCTAAAAGCTTACAAGTTGAAATGTTTTCAAGGTGATATACAATCAGTAATAAGAGTGAAGGAAAAATAAGCATAGGGACAGATAATCTACAGTCCGTTCTTTTAAGAACAGGGTACCCCTGCGTATAAAAACCTTAAGTATTAACCAAAAGATAAATCGTCTGATTTTTAAATATGATATTTTAAAATCTAATTTTCAGGTAAAGGTTTAACTTAGATCGTCTTACTATTAAAAATTGATAAATTTATTATTTTCTATAAGAACCAATCACATAAAGTAACGGCATGTCGTGTGTATAAAAAAAATCAAAATCCGAATAATAATAAATATTTAATTCCTAGCACGAGGTGATGAGCTCCATATTTTGTCTTTATAGAACTGCCATGTAATAAATCATGGAGACTACACAAGGAGCACGCACTCAAGTGTGGCATTTGCCAGAGTATGTCCGTGCTTTATCGTATAAATAAAGCTTTCTTTTTTCACCACTAGTGTCGCTAATTTTTCTTTTGTACCGGTGTGAATATAGAGGAATAAACAAATGTGAAGTTAGCGTGAAAATAAAGTAACCGATTATTTAATTAACGTAAACACGTGTCAAATGTTTTTAAATTAAATAAATATAATTAGAGTTATAATTAATTAATTAATTAATAATTAATTAGAATTATTTATTTTATTTCAAACTACCGCCTCATTCTCTTATGCCATTTTGGTACTTATGGAACCTAGCTCCCTCTTAAAAAACTCTGTTTAACACAGTACGCTTGTTATACATGGAGTGCGTGCTCCTTGTGTAGTCTCCATGTAATAAATGTTTATCAAGGGATAACGGGTATTTGACGTGTTTGACGTGTGTTATGCAAGTGACGCAATGCAAGTGTGAAGAAGATATGTAGTGCATGTAAGTCACTACAGTAACTTAATTTTAGTGATTTTGAGGAGCGTTGGAAAACTAGAAATAGTTTTTTTTCTCGTATCACTATTCAAAGAAGGCTTTTGCGCTTCGAAATCCAACCGGAAAGTCGTCGTTTTCCGCAAACTGACATTAACAGCCGTATGCATAGTCGATCGCCAGCGATTCATATCGGCGTATCGCCAGCGATTCGCTGGCGATCCGCCGCGAAAGCCCAAAAAAGTTTTAAGAAATGAATCATGAGTAAAATGCGAGAGATACCGGTGATAATCCCTATAAAAGAAAATAAAAACTTGCCTGAAATGACATTCCGGTGACAATCTCCGGCGAGTCGCCACCTTTTTGGGCTTTTCACCGGCGGATCGCCAGCGAATCGCTGGCGATACGCCGAAATGAATCTCTGGCGAGTCGCTGGCGATCGACTATGCATACGGCTGTAAGTGACACGCAGGGACGGTTTACTCCATTGGTTCATTTGTGCAGTGAACACCCAGTTACATTTCACAGAAACACATTATTTTAAAGTAAATAACATAAAAATATAAATTCAATTTAATAATAATCTCTGTTTTTTGGTACGCTACTGCGCTCTGGCTAATCGCTGATCGCTAATCGCTGGCTGAGTTTTCTGAGTGAGCCCGTGGAAGTGAGATGCTTTCTTAAAAGCCTCTAGTTAAAAAGAGAAGTCAGCAAGTTAACAGATAGGTAAAACGAAAAATGGCCTACTTAAAATCATTAAAATCATATCATTTTGCGCTACGCATACAGTGACGCCACAAATCAAGGCGAGGAATATGAATCTTTTAAATCATAGATATAGAATAAAGAGATGCAATGACGGTACTAAAAGTGTCTGCACTTTTGCATTGCCCTTTTACGACATGTCAAACTCGAGCTAGACAGTTTTAGTGATAATAAATGAAATCTTTTTAAAATGACGTAATTTAAATGATATTAAAATATTTTTCATTCCGTTAATATTTAAATATAAAATTGTTAACTTAAAATTAATCAAAATATGATAGCATTTTGTAAATCCTATCTTTCAAATCGTCACTTACAAGTTAAGTGAATAGTCCGTGCAGTTCACGGCCACTTCTGGAGTACCGCAGGGCTCGGTATCCTCCTACTTGCGTACGTCCCATTTGCGTACACGGTTAATTTTGTCCCACTTACGTACACCGTGAGGTCATGCCTTGTGGCAGGTAAAAATATTATGATGCATAGTCCTACTTGCGTACACACATAAAATAGGGCCCTATTATATTACTGAATAGTTTGAAAATGTTATAATTTTCTTTTTTAATGGCCACAAAATATTGCAAAATAAAAGTTGATTTCATGTATGTTAAGTTGACGCCTATTTACGAACTAAGGACTAACAAAATTACTATTATTTTCAAGTAGTCCAAAAATGTTATTTACGTTTTAAATAAATAAAAATAATTTTTTCTACACCCGTATTATAATAATGCACTTATATGCCCATAATCCGTTTCATAATGATACCCATTATGATACAGATTTTTCATTACGATACAGATTTTTAAACAATAGAAACCTACAATTTTTCAATGAAGCATGCTGTTTGACGTTTGTCCTAGGTTCCTATGTAATTATTTTAGTTGTCAAAACGTATTAAATTTTCGTAGGTAGCTAAACTTCGATAATTATAATATTAAAATGTCTGATATTAGGATATAGAAGACTCCTCCACACATATCGGAGAAAGCAGAAAATACAGTACAAAATATTTTACCGCAAAAATCTTAGGGAAATACCAATACCTGAAAGTAATACCATTAATTACAATTTTGTAGAATTTTTTATAGAAATACGAGTAATTACTGTTATTGTGTTCAATACCAATATAAATATAATATTTATAGGTCTTGATTATTTATCGGGTGTAGAAAAAATAGCGTATGCAACTCTCATGTAATGGTTATTAAAACACTCGCATAAACCATACGAAACTCGCCTTTGGCTCGTTTCGTATCCCGGTTAATGCTCGTGTATTAATAACCATCATTACATGATCGTTGCATAATATACTATTATATACTCTTAATAAGTAATCGTTAATATCAGGTCATTAGGGAAATTTAACATTATTCATTATTCGATAATTGATTTTTGAATTTCTTAACACTTCGAGCAAAATCGTTAGTAAGTGTACTACAGCCATATTATTCAGTTCAGTCGTTTTATAACCGTTTTTATTTCCGAAATGGATCAACTTCAAATAGTTAATATGACCAAAGGGAAGCCATCAGCAATTTTTAAGGAGCAACAGTATCGACAACATAGAAAAGACAAACAAGAGGTTGTGACATGGTTGTGCGTCAAAGAAAAAAGTGAAAAATGTCGGGGAACATTAAAAACAAATAAATCCCAAGTTCTGTCAGTATCTGAGCATAACTGTAAAATAAATTTGGCATAACTAGAAGTGAAAGTTCATAAAGAAAATGCCAAAAAAAGCGAGCACGAGAAACTTATCAGTACATTTCAAACATTTACCGAGAAGAAATGAGGCCACTTTTTGATCGTGGAATTGACTTCAGTAAAGACCACTTTATATCGGCACAGACAAAAGGCAAACGGACTGTCGAAAGAGCATCGAATGTCGAAATACCTGAAAGGCCTCTTCTTTTGAACGATGGATCTTCCTGGTCGCTGATGATGGTTACGAAGACAGTATTTTAATATTTTCGTCATCGATTGGGAAGGAGATTATATCAAACCAGAATACTTTCTTTATGGACGGCACTTTTAAGTGTTGCAGTAAACAGTTTACTCAACTTTATACAATACATGCGGACATTGGAAGCAATACAGACGAGCGAAACATAATTCCTGTAGTTTATGCACTACTCAAGAACAAAACTCGCTCTACATATGAGAGATTATTTACGAAAATAAAAAGATCCACAAACTGGAAACCAACATTATTGACTGTAGACTTCGAGGAAGCGGTGCTTATAGCTATAAGGAATGTGTTCCCTAACGTTGCAATAAATGGCTGTCATTTCCACTACAATCAATGTATGGCGAAAATTACAACAGTTGGGCCTAGTTGTAGAATACCGTAACGATGATGAACTGCGACTACATATTCGTATGTGTGCTGCTTTGGCGTATATTCCACTTGAATATTTGGATATCTGTTAGTTAACCATTCAAGAAAATTCACCCGTTAACGAAAAACTTCGAAACTTTTACGATTATTTCGTGGATCAGTGGCTAGAAAATAGTATCAATACGCCAGATATGTGGAACTGCAGCAACAAGCTCTATCGTACAAATAACGTCGTGGAGGGATAGAACAACAAGTTACATCATCTGGTCAAAAGAAACCATCCGCCTGTCTTACAGTTGATTAAACACTTAAAAGAATAAGCAGAAAATAGTGATTTTCTTTATAAACGAAAAGAATTGAATTTGGAGGAAAAAAGAAGAAAAACAAAATACGTCAAGTTGGACATTAGAATTAATAAAATAATAGCGGCATATACAAAAACAAAAGACGTTAAAAAATGCCTAACTTCTCTAGCTTACGTCGCTAAGTTAGAGTAACCGACTGTATGGCTCTGCATTTTGTGAATATTCTGTAAATACCATTCTTTTTGTAAATTTTTAAAAAACAAAATAAACTCAAAAAAATAAAAAAACTAAAATAAATACAAAAAAACTTTTAAACACGTCAGCAAATCGCTGCCAGTCCTAAGCCTGGAAAAATTGTGAAGAAAAGTTTTAAAAATAAAATTAAGTATAAGTATATGTACGCAAGTCGGACTATATATCGTAATAGTTTTACCTCAAGAGATGATCTAACCCGTGTACGCAAATGTAACAAAATTGACCGTGTACGCAAATGGGACGTACGCAAATAGCACCATATCTCAGGGCTCAGTGTTGGGGCCATTATTTTTTATTATATTAATCAACGATATTATTGCGGATCTATAAGTAAATAGTTTACTCTATGCAGACGATCTTAAACTTTACTACAAAAT